CATTGTTGCCTACTTTAACAATTTTCTCTTATACTATTATTATACTACCAAGTTACATACAAACATAAGCATTTTTATTTGTTTATTAGCCATATAATCATTACAAAATAAAGCAAACTAAAAAAAAAAAAAAAAAAAAAAAAAAAAAAAAAAAAAAAGTTTTTATAGAAACTGTATGGCAACAGATGAATTGCAAAATATTTGTCCATTATACTTTATATTTTTCAAGCATTACCAAAGGAATGGAATGCTGTCCTGAAAAACATTTCTTATTTTTAATTTCTTTAAAATATATCAATCACTTAAAATTATATGCTCGTATATCATTTTCCGGAATTCAGTTATATTAACTGGCATATTTAAACTTTGATTTTTAATCCTCTGATAAGCATAGTAACATACTAAAACACCACAGCTCATATTATCAGTTTGAAAAATATGCAAAGGACAAATTATTTTCCATTTAGTGCTAGTAGCAAATATTTTAGCTAAAACCTTACACCATGTATGAATTAAAATTTGATACTCTTGCACACATGATTTATTTTGTGGATCATAAAATTCAAATACCATATCTGGAATATTTACTATTATTAATATCCAATGACAATTTAAATTTGCAGGGATAAAAAATAATTTTGCTGATTTTAATCTTGTTAATAACAGATCTTTAATACAGGAATTTGCTTTAGGTATTTGTAAATTAGACTTAACAAAGGCAAAATTTTCATAACTGTTTAATATTTTAAACAAAAAAGCATCAATTATAGATTTATTTTGATCAATTCTGGTTAAATCACACAGATATTGATCACTGTTATTTAAATCAAATGCTATGGCTTTAAATTTAATTTTCTTTTCCACACATTCATTTATTTCTGGTTATTTCTGGGTCATCTACACTATCATTAAAATCTTCGATTCTTGTTCTGCTGATGTTTCTGTAATTTTCTTTTTTTAGAAGTTTTAAACAATTGTGGGTTAAGTTTTTGATTTGGTGAAATTGGACATGATGCACTTGAAACTGCTCTTGAATTTTCATTCGAGTTTAAAATTCCTCTACATTCTGAAACTAATGAATTTAATGTTGTATGAACACACTTTAACATGACATTTTGGACTTTTGGTTGTCTTATTAATTGCAGTAATTCTTCTACAAGCTTTTCACATGCATTTACTCTCTGTTCAATACTTTGTGGATTGTAATGATTAACAGAATACACATTTATTGATTTCATATTTTCATTGCATTTCTGATTCGATTCAAGATTAATCCCCGAGGGATTAAACATACAATCATTTTGTCTATTAAGGAATGAATGCACTTTATGTATATGTTTGCACAGCAATTTATCTAAGCAATTGCAGTGATACAAGTGACTACACAATGAGACACGATACTTTAGGGCATCTATAAAAGCAAAAATCCTGACACGGACAAATTTCAAAAAGACGCTGCACAGTATATATTTTATTTTTTGTCTGGAGAACAAACAGTCCAAGAAGTATCAGAGCATTTATTTACATCACTGTCCCTAATTTTTAGTCCTCTCTGATGCCTACTTAAACAAGAAATGGAATTTCTGGGAGATACATTAGTGTATAATTTATAGGTATGATTTAAATATTTATCTTTCTCAATTGTCAGAAGTGTAGAAATTAAAATATCTAATCGTCTATTATGTCTCCGCTTAAAATAAACAGTTTTCAACTGATTGTGAAAAGATTCACAGTACATGTTAGTATCAGTAAATGCATGTGGAAAGTTCCGATAACACAAAGCCCATTCCTTCTAATCTATTTTTATAATTTTCAGAAAAATATTCAATAAAATCTCTACTTTTCCTAGAATAGTCATTCAAAAACTTACTTATTTGATCATGAAAAGTGATCTGGTTTCTTTCATGTAATATTTTTGTTAATTCTCCTAGCATTTTTTGTCGCACTTCCTTATCTACCACTTTAGAATTTAAGTTGCCGGAACCAACTTTGGCGTACGTGCCACGAACATAAAAGATGCTTAACATCTTGACCAAAAACCTTTGAAAATGCAGGATATGTAACTTTGTCATCATCTGTCATTACACAGTTTACATATAAATTTGGTACACGACACTTTAAACTATTAAATAAACAATAAAGAGTGTCAGCATCTAGAAAATTAGTAATAAAATGAGCAACTGGATAGCCACAACCAAATTCATCAGGTACTATAAGATTAAGAAGGTAAAAATCATACTGGTTAGTCTTATGTGTAGAATCGATACATAAAATCTCTGTACAACCTTTTATCATCATTTCTTTCTGTTCACGTGTCTGAAGACCAAAAGCAAACGATACTTTATGATTTGTAAGATTATCTAGATCAGTTGGACCGTACAAAGTTGAATTATTCTGAGGCTTATAATATATATTATAATAACACAGGATTGTATGCTTCACATTTTAAAGTTTCAATGATTGAATTAATAGAAACTGCATCACTACTTGGACGCAATGAATTGTTTAAATATCTAGAATAAGCACAAATAGCTTTACGGGAGACAAAGCTTTCCTTTACAGGGAAATTATTTCTATTCTCGCGATTTCCTGATCCATCTTGTAAGATATCCCTATTTTTTGTGGAGGCACAGACAAACGTAAATTTGCTTTTATCAAACATCGCGTACTTTGTTTCAATGGCTGATATTTACAATTTTCAAACTTTTGCTCATGATTATGTTTAGGAAAGTAAAAAACAGAGATTTTATTCATTTCTTCACAAGCCCATATTCTGACTGGACAACATACACTTTTTGAAATTGTACCTTTTTCATTTTTCCGACTAGTTTTTTTTTTCAAAATCAGAATAACCTTGCGTGGTAAACTGACAACAATAATAATGATAAGTTTTAGAATTTTTCGTTACTTTAGAAAACTTTCTGAATGAAGTAAATGTCGAGGTTCCTTCCAGTTCTAGCCAATCTTGAAAATAACTCATTGTTTCAAATGAATATTCTTTTAAGTTATTTAAATTATGTTCATCTGCTAAATGCTTATTAAAATTTAAAACATATGTAAAAGACTTATGGCAATCAGGTATGAAGCATACATACAATTTATTAACTTCTGTGCAAAATTTCTTATGTTTAAAAAATGATAATTTGCAAGGATAACATTTATTCACAATTTAGACATTTCCGAGGGTAAACAGATGAAAAATTTTGTTTTAAATCAGGTACTTGTTTATTTGAACATTTTTTTTTTTTTTTTTTTTTTTTTTTTTTTTGTGGTTATAAAATGAATTTCTTCGATTTATAAGTTTTCAAGCATATTTCACATTTACGAAGATAAGCCATTTCTATTTTATCACTAATACATTCTTTGGTTTCTAATTTTTTAGCACTCAATACATTATCAATGTTTTTATAGCAATATTACTCTGAGGAGAAGTTATTGAAAGTTTTAAATTTTCAGTTTCAAGTTTTTCTTTGCAATTTTTTTTATGATTATTAAAAGAATTTTTAGTTTTATAGTTTTTTTTACAAACATCACATTTTCTAGGGTAAAGCGATGGTGCATTACAGTCAATTTCGGACCCCCCCCCTCCAGTCAGAATAGGACACATAGACTTATTTTCCCTCTCTTGACAATTAATTTCACTGCTTTCTACGTGATCTTTTAGTAAACAAAATTTATTAAAGTGAAAGAAACTTAGGCCAATACAATGGATAACAATCACTGAAAGAAACAGCACTTGCCTGCTGTACACTACAACTAGCAGCAGTGACTGCATTCTTTAGTGATGATCCCATGTAGGCCATTACACTTCTTAGGCGCAAAACAGCTGAAGCAGCATTCTTCAGATGCAAACCGCCACTAACAGTCAAATCCCTCCTTGGACACAAACCATCACCAAAAGCACGAATTGGTTTCTTCTGAAAACTAGCAATTGGGACAGTAGTGTTCGTAGAAGAATTAACAGTGGAACTAGCACTGCTCCTCAGAAAACGGCCAGAACCATGGACTGCAACACGCCTGGAGGAGTCAACATCAGCAAGGATATCATTTCTATGACAGGGGCTGGGAGTGACGTTATTCCTTGAATGCAAACCAGAAGCAGCATTTCTTCGGATGACAGCCAGTACCATGGACACCAACAACACCGGGAATGACAACATTCTCAGGACTTAGGCCAGGGGTAGCAACGTTCCTTGGACGCAAATCAGAACCAGAACGAGGGACGGCAGCATTCCTTGGACGTGAACCAAAACCATTGGACAGACATACTTAAAATGAGAGCCAACACTACATATGGCAACATTTCTAGGATGACATCTAGGTTTAGTCCCATTCCTTACATGCAAACCAGAACCAGTTCTATGGACAGAAGCGTTCCTTGGGCGAGATCCACCACCATGGCCAGCAATGAGACCGAGAGCTAGCATCTGGGTTGGCAACGTTTTTCGGATGTGAGCCAGGGGTGGTATCATTTTGCAGATGCAAACTAAAACCATCTGTGGGTTAACAGCATTCTTGAATGAGAGTCACCACCATGGACAACACATTTAAAACGAGATCCAGCACCAGAAATAGCAACACTCTTCAGCCAAGAGCCAGAAGCAACTTTAGCAGCAGCATTTCTCAAATCAGAATTAGCCTTCTTAGTAGCATCTACAGCACAACCATGCTTTAAAACAGTTGAATAGAGAGGATAAGAAGGGCTTGCAGAAACAAAAGAATCACTCAGAGGTGGAAAATCCAATGTAGTAAATGAAACACAAGGCAATACAAAAGGACTTACCTTTGTAGAAACTGGCTTTGAAGTCAAAACAATCTTGATATTATCCAGGAAAACTGCCGCAAGTTTCTTGTTCCCCAGACGGTTTAGATGTAATCCATCCCTAGCCAATAACTTAGCTCCAAAATGATGAGACGACCTGCAAATAAAAAAACGCTTCTCGATTTTGGCAGTACTTTTCAAGTTGAGAATTAATTTCTACAATTTTTCTATTAATTACCTGTAAACGGTTCAAAGCTGCTACTCGCTGATTTAAAGTTGTGAAAAAATCTTCACCACGTGGTAGGATATCTGAAATGATAACATTGATATTCGGGTTCAAAGTTTAATATCCTTAGAGAGGCAATCGTACTTTTTAAGAATAACTTCAACATTGTCATTCGAATTGTTGGTACCAACATGTACCAAAATCAAATGGTATCGATTGTCCAAAAAGGATTTAACCTTTCTATCATTGCACCAGGAAAAGAATGTAAATCTACTTCATAATTCAGAAGATTCGCAGGTAAATATTCATCCAAATATTTAACCATTGAATCTCCAATTATAAGCAATTTCATCTTTTTTGGTTGCATATCGGCAAAACAAACACAACTACAAATCGAAACACAGATCAATAATTTGGTAATATATACTGTAAATAAAATGCAACTATAAATTAAATGAAAATCAAATCAAACACTAATCATAAATATAACAAAATACAAATAATTATTAATAGAAAAAAAAAAGTAAATAGCTCAAGTAATGCGAGAAAAATGGCGCAAAAAATACACACCTCACTCGCGCTAATATTAACACGTGAACTAAATTCGCGCCAATTCTTCAGCTTGCGGAAAAATTTACGGAAAAAAAAATAACGCCAAATGCTCGCCAAGCTTTGTTGCCAACAGAGATATCAAAGGTACATATCCGGTGATGACGTAGAACACACTTCCGGGTTCCGATTTGCGGAATTCTGTAAAACTCAGCTTCGAGCAATGTAGAGGTGAGACAGACTGGTTGCTATGCAATAAACGTCACTTCCGCACGGAATCTCCACTTCATTTTCCGCCGACGGAATTTGAAGGGGTCAGACTCGCTCTCCCATTCGCTGTCGAGTGGAAAGAGAATCCCGACTGGTTTTCCGATATCGATCTCGACAGGTGTCCAGACTAGACCCCTTAGTTACGGGTTGTGTTACTTAGGAAGGAAGTAAAAATACGCTTCCAGACTAGGCGATAAGCTTGAATTTTCGACCTGCGGGCAGAAAGACGTAGCGGGTGCAAAGTGAGATATCTTTGTTGTTTGTTTTCGTAAAATCATAAAACATGTTGGAAAGCATGCAGACTTAATAACTTCTTTCTAATTTGAGAAAGATAAAATACGCATGAGATACAAATTATATTTACTTATTTAAGTAATTATCTACATGAAATAGGAGGATATATAATTATATACAATTATTACCATATGAATTACGATTCAAATGTAACATTATTATTTAAGGTTAATTTAAAACTACTAAAAATTTCAGCTGATTGAAATCGACTTTGAATGCTCTCACTTCTGTATATAAGTCTAAAAGGGAGCTAGCTGTAAAATGATTCTTGATGCTATTTACGAAGTAGATGAACAAAGTGATTGCCCAGATAACGTAAGTTCCAGTAGATTTGACATTTATTTTTTGCTTGTTTTGTATATGAATAAAGTGGTAAAATTTCAAATTATTTGAATTAATATGCTATTTTGGAACAGCTTTAGTATTGGTCCTTTTGGCGATATTTTATTTGGTGACAAACTTCGGTCGCCAAGGTAGACTCGGTTTTGAAGATCGGAAAAAAATGGCGGATTGTCAACAAAACCCGATCTAGACTAAATAACAATCCTAAAAAATAAGCTTTTAATCGGAATAAACAGTCTTTCTCTAATTTTCAATATTTCTAGTACTGCTATGATAAATTCTTGAAACACTACTGTAAATGAATTTATGACAATTATTATGTTATGAGTAATGAAATTTACAAAATGTTAATATTTTTAATTACAAAATATAATGTATTAAACATTAATATTTTAAGTAGTTAGTTCATATTTGTATTTTATTATATTAGTACTTAGCTAATATTTTAAATTTACAAAAGGTTAATTTTTATGGTTATGAATAATGAAATTTACAAAAGGTTAATAAATGCATTTCAAACTAGTATATGTTACTTTAGTTTCTTAGATTCTGTTATTAAAAGAAAATGAAAAAAATATTTCAAAGTGAAGGAAATCAAATTCAATTATAATGGGCAAGTTTTGTACCAGTGTTAGAAATATTTTTTATGATTAAATATTGTAAGTGGTAAAAATATTAAGAAGTGTGTATTTTTTAATCCCTCAATTTATTACAAGTAATTTATGATTATAATTTAAAAGCTAAAATTAAATTATCATACTGAGTAAATTTTGTACCAATGGTAATAATACAACAATCATCGTAAATGATGATTTCTGTGAAAAATTCGAACAGTCATTGGAATCCACTAGTGGTGGAGTGATAGCCACTGAACAGTGGTAGCTCAGGCTGGCTATGTGGGAATTTTAGTAGTTTCCCATAGATGTAATGTGAATCTGAGCCAGTTTCTCTTATAAAGTACTTTATGTAGGCATCCTTCTTCTGCTAGACAGCATATGTATTTATTTTCTATTCATAATTCTTCTTATTTCTTAATTCTAAATCTTACTTCTGAAGAGAAGAAGTGTTGCATCTATAGGTCGAAAAATATGGTCAATATGTTTGCAAAATCCTGTCAGTTTTGGAAAGCATTTAAATAAAATAAATAATTTGTATGTGATGCAAACAAAAATGCATTACACTATTTCATGTACTGAATAATTAATCAGGGAACATAGTATATTGTAACGTTCCTTTATTTTGTAACCAGAGTTATTTTATGCTTGGGATCTTTACTGTCAATTTCCTCCATCCGTTTTCTCACCAGAATCCAAATGAAGTTTTTATTTTGTAAAACAAACCGTGTTTTGCCTTTTGAGGCCACATTAATAGGTTGCTAGATAAGAAAATATTTATAGTCTTCAGCCTTGCATTATAATTGCTGATAGTTGAATTCCATGCCAGTTACGTTTTTAACCAACTTTGCATTAAATTGATTTGTGCAGCCTTTGGGCTACAAATTTATTTGAATTTAAATTTTACATTTGAACTTAATTGTTATCATAAGTTATCTTGCCACAAGTGGTTGACTGAGTCGTAAGCACAAAGTGTGCCTTCTGTTCTGTACATCTAAACTTTATAATAGAATAAAAGTATATCTTAACTTAATAAGAATATATCTAAACTTTATGATAATAACATTTAAAGACATTGAAATCAGTATCTAAGTGCTTGCCATGTAGTCAAATTTTTATATATAAATTGTACTCTTACTTTTATTATAGAGTTTTTATTACAAAAAATTCAGATTTCTGTTAGATAAAATGTTTAAGTAATGTAGAAAATTTGCTTTAAATTTAAAATAAAAAGTCGACTGCTATGTCAACATACTATTAATAAAAGTAATACTCAGTGAAGGTTATTCATATACAGCTGTTAGGTTGTAAGATTTACAAAATTTGAGAACTCTAAATTATAAGCAATATATTCCATTATCTAAGCAACATTACATTTTTTATAGTCAGACAAAATGAAAATGTTATAAAAGCAATAATGAAACCTGATTTTGGTCCTGATTTGAACCTATGAATTCATGCAATTACACAGCCCTATAGTTCTAATATGAGGTAAATAAGTATTTTTAGACCATGGTAATTTTGATCTCCTTAGCAAAGGAAACACCAAGAGTTTACCTCATGCTACTGAAAATGTGTTTTTTTTTTTCCTTGGGGGGTTGGAGTTTATAATAATATGCAGAGTTGACATATGAAAAAATGTCAAGACTCATGTGATGTAATATTAAAAGCACCAGTTTTAACTATCAAAAATTTGGCTTTTTAAAAAATATTTTAAATGTTGTGCTTTCCTAACACAAAAGTAACTTTAAGAAAAACACACAATTTATCCCTCCTGCCATCAAAGCTCTGATACCTATCAAATTCGTTAAAGTTACGTGGACAGAAATGGCGGCATGTTTGAAGCTCAGTATTTAGGGTTACCAAGGTTATCATAATGTTTCATTTATCGCTCCAAAATGTCGCCAAACAAATTTCTCGCCAAAAAGGACTAATACTAAAGCTGTGCCGTAATGGAAATAGGTGTGAGAAATGTTTGGCATGAGCTTTGTTTGGCAATTAATAGTAGGTAGGCAAAGGCTTGCTGTATTTCGCATTAAAAACGGCTGGATGTTATGTTATTTTAGTGATTTAAAAAAATGATAATAATAAATGTATTCTTTAACATCTTCTGTGTAAATATTTCTGAAATATAACCTGGAAATTCAGTTTGCTGTTAATTTTTTCTAATCTTCACATTTTTTTTTCTTCTTATAGTAACCTAATTTTTCGAAAATTAGGATAAAAGGCGGGGAATTCGTTATTTATATTAATAATGCTTTATTTTCAAAGTAGAAAACTTGTTGCAGAAATTAATAAAATAAAACTTTTAAATTTACAAAAGTCTTATTTTAAGTATAAAATTTTCCGAAATTTGTATAAAAAAAAAAAACTTACAGCGTATGCAGTATTCACTTTTTATGATAACCTTATGTCTGTATAGGTATGTGTTAACTTTTACAATATATTTAAAAATATTATATGTCATAATTTTTATTTATTTTCATTTAAAAAACTTGCTATTATGACACATTTTTGTTTCTTCTTTTCTTTTCCATTTATCATTATTATTATTCTGCAGTTTTAAATAATTTTCAAAAATCATTTTATCAAAATACATTACATGAATGGTCAAGTTCAGGATTCCCAATCTGTCATACATGTACCTGTGAGAGTACGGGAAAAATTAATTAATAATGATGAAAGTAATAAAGTGTTATAATAAATACTTCAAAAATTTTAATTTATTATTAAAAAGAAATTCAGGGTAAAAATCTATTTATGAGTGACTCTGGCGATTTTTGGCGGTACATGGACACCCAGTTTGTGCTATTCTTTGACTTGTTATTTTAGCTTTGTGCCGTGGTGATTTTTGGTACAAAATTACTATACAAAGCCAAAATAACAAATCAAAGAATTCCACAAACTCGTTATCCATGTACACATCGGCCTATTTTCACTTAAAAATACATCAGAGAATTTCACAAACTTGGCATTATGTACTCTCTTGACTTTTTTTCCATGTACACATCAATCTATTTTCGCTTAAAAAGTCAAAGGAGCAGCCAGTTCTACACTAGAGCTAAACAAAAAGTGTATAATTTCAATGAAAAGCATTTTAAATCAAACAATGAAATAACACAAAAAAGGAAATTCCTTATAGCATCTAAGCACTACACAAAGGAAATGTCTGCTTATTTTATTTAGAAATTTCCTTGTCTTCAGTCAAACAAAATTCCTAAAATTATCTGAACTATCTATATACTGCTGTCGCCACATAAATTCACAAAAATAAGAGTAAAAAATATCTTCTATGGTGCGAGTATCCTCCAAAGTTCGACAATATGCATTTCCTTTGTACAAACAGGACACTTATAATTCTGTTAAATTACATCCAACAAAGTTGCATTTTTTCTGTCCTCAACCACTTGGAAAAAAAAAAAAAAAAAAAAAAAATGCAACCAATCATGTCATAATAGGATTTCCATAACATTCAACTACTCAGGTTACCATAAATGAACAACAACTTGACAATAAATGAAACAACAACTTCCTGATAATCAAAGGGGCACCCTTAAATATAGGCTAACCAAAATTAGTTGAGAGGATTTTGGATGTGACTGATATTGTCCAAAATGTTACAAAAGCAAAGTAATGAATAGTAACTAGTCCTACCCACACCTGTTGTATTGTTTAGTTTCTTAAAACCCAATGGTGCCATTGCTTTTTCCTTCTGTGACTGAATGAAATGTGTACAGAAGCAATGTAATGAATAGTAGCTAGTCCTACCTACATCTGTTGTTTACTTGTTTTTTTATGGGATATTCCCACTGAAGTTTATCTGAGCTAATGGACATAACTGATGCAGCTGACCCATCTCCAAAAGCAGTTTTTTCCAGATTTTAGCAGGCTGCAAAAATCTGAACGCAGGCATAGCGGAGCTAGTCGACACATGGAACTGACTCTTTTAGCTCTAATAAACCGCAGTGGGAATGGCCTATTACACACCGCATGGTGCATTGCTTTTCCCTTCTGTGGCTGAGTCTGGGCAGCCAACTATATTTTCAGTATTGAGCAAATTATCAAATCAATTATGAAGTTTTCTTTCATACAGTTATAATATTCAAATCAGTTTAAGTGTGGAGTTTTGTTTTGAATAAACTTTTGTTATTTTTACTAAAGTGTGTTTTGGTTCGATATGATGGTAATGCTTGCCAATTTACAATTAATACGGATAGCTTGTGAATCATTTCTATAAATGTCATGAAAATCATTAAGGCAGTTGTGATAATATGTAAGTAGCGATTAACTTATATATAGTAATTAGAAAAAATATTGAGATGATTTGGCTTAATAAATCAAAACTGGAAATTTTATATA